AAGAGGAGGCACAGAACTTGCTGGACAGGAAAAGCAGAAACCTTTGGAGCTCTGCAGGAAATGCGGACCAAGGTCTCTGCTCTTGGGGTCTCTGTGGATCCTCCCTCCAACCAGGCTGCTCACTGCTCACTTACCTGGCTGTTCCTGCAGTGATCAAGTTTGGACTCAACACAGACAATGAAATTTTAGTAAGAAAAGCTTAATATACCTTCCCTATATATATATATAAATATATATACACACACACACACAAAATATACATGTATATATAATGTTCCTACCCTCCTCCAAGTAAATGATTCTTGCCCCAGCTGTAAGGGTGGTGGGAGTTATATATTCTCACAATCACTGAGCAAATTCTGAAATTTCTTTCCTTTCTTAAATTTTAGGTTGCCAATTAACATTATACTGTTACCATCTCTGAACTCACATAACACAGCCAGTGCACAGACTAGGTAACAAAAATTGCATGGGGACTGTCACTTGAGTTTAACAAGTATTTCATCTCCTTCCTCAGAGGGCATTTTCCAAGTCACAGACTTTCCTGGAGGGGCAAGGCAGATATCAAAGTCCTGGCTCCAAAGGCCTGTTGTGTCAAGTCTTATTTCTCCAGAGGCAGAACCTGCATCCCTCTCTCAGTCCTTTGTCTCACATGGAATGCATTTGGTCTTTCCTGCCTTCTGCCTTCATAACTTGGCAGGAGGAGAAGTAAGAAATGGTGACTGGGGGGTTTTTATCCATTCCCACTCGTGCATGTTCATGTACCATTCCCCCAACACCAAAAAACCCAACAGCCCCCCAACCAACACAGCACAACTCAAACAGCAGGAGGGCTGAAGTCCTTACATTGCAAAGGTAACCTCTAAATAAAGAAGTGGCAGCACCACATACCTTAAACACATCTGAATTCCTGGGTACTCTTTGTCTCCTATAAAACCTAACCCTTGACAAATATGTATGTGTTGATCAAGCACCTCTTACCCTCCTTTCCCCCTTTATTCCTCTCCCTACCATTTCAGTTGCAGTTGTTAAAACTAACGCAGAATTTTGCCACAGAGCTTTTGCTTCAGGTACGCTGGACAAAACTGCAGCATCTGATACTCTGATGTGGAATAGAAATAAATGTTAATCTGACCAAGTGATTTCAGTGGTTTATTTTGTTTTCATTTCTAAAAGTGCTGAATTTCTACTGACCCACATTCTGCGTATTTCTTGTACTCCGTGATGTCTGAGGTTGCTTAGATTTTCATTTGCATTAGATATTATTTTGTGTCCAAAGGTCAAATGAGCATTGCTTTTGAGTCAGATGCCTACTGGCTGCATTTCTAGTAGTTAATTTTTTCACACTGAGAAAAATAAGAAGTGGGAGGCAGTTCAAGCTATCCCAAATAAACAGACAGAAGTAAAGCAACAATTACTTTTCCTGTGTGGACTGCTCTTGCTCATTTCTCCTCGAGAGATAACACTCACTGACATAATGTCAGATAACCATGTTCAGTGTTTCACAGACTTGCCATTTAAAGATTCATTTCCACTCCACTTATTTTCGTTTTATCAGCTCCTCTTTTGGTGCATTTCATCTGTGAAAATTTTCATGTAGACTCTCCAGAGCAGGAATTTGAGAGAGAGGGAAGCAAAGGGGTCTCACTTGACTTAAAACACCTCTAGAAATCATAAAGGGAGTGAGATAGGACAGAAAAATGAGAAGTTCTCATCAGAATAGTTGTTTGCATAAAATTCTCAACTGTTACTAAAGCTTCAGTGCAGTTCCTGGGGAGGATGAATATAGAAAGCCTCAGGTTAACTTCAGTCATTACTGAGCATTTTACATCTGCTGAAGAATTCCAAACACATTAAAGGTTGTCAATCTAAACCTTTAGACCAAAATAAATAAATAAATAAATAAATAAATAAGGAGCAACTCCAAAGGCAATCAGTAGGCAAGTTACAGATCTGATTCAGCTTTTAACCCCCAGAGGTATAAGCACACTTTATGTGCAAAAGATATGCAATGTCTGTACTCTGCAATGTTACATTTTAATAATCTACAGTAGAAGGCAGTGATAAAAAGAAGAATATGACATAATTGTGTATGTAATTTGATGAGAAGCTGTGGGGAACATATTTTTCCTATGCACTTATAGAAAATACTAATGACAAATCACTGACTGAGGACTTTGTTGACAGTTAAATTTCCTATTTATAGCTATACATTTTCTCAAAACCTCTACAACTTACTTTTTAGGATCTTTTTTTTTTTCCCCCCCCTCTCTAGAATACTTTTAAGGTACAGTTCAGCTTACAGCTCCAAGGTTTACTTCATCTTATAGATCCTGCTGCAAGGCACCCTACAGTGGAGGATCAGGTAACTCATCCTGAAGAGGTGTTTGCTGAGTTACTATAGCAATGGAGAGTTTGCAGAGCAGGAACCACCCCGACAGGAAAAGGGAACTGGCTGCAGGAGGACACTGACAGGCTGGTCTGGAAAACTGCACAGCCTAAATTAGAAATGAAACACGGGGGTCACTCCTTTGAGTTTGCTGCAAATAGATTCAGAGGCCTCGATGATATGAACACCTGATTTCGTGTCATTTATTTCGAGGGATTAAACTGAGCTGTGTCAGGCAAACCTGGGGAACCTTCAAGGAGACTTGAGTACATAATTGGGAAGTGACTCCATGAAATCCTGCTGATGACTCACCAAGGAACACTTTTGTCCCTGTCAGACATTGGTCATGGTGTGAGAGGTGGGAAGGAATCAGGAAATAACTGTCCGCTGGGAGAATATTTTAATCCACTTACAAAAAACTTTCCTTGGAAAGGCCTTTTCCTCTCTTTTTCGTATCTCCAGTGGTGAGTCATCTAATCTCATCTCTGTATATTGCTAAACTCCACAGGGATCACCTTTACTTCCCAACTTTACCCTGGCCAGAGATTCAGTCAGACAAAAGATCCTTAATGTCTTTCCTTAAGTTCAGCTCACTTCTCTAAAATGCATTCCCCTTCTCTTTCACAAAATGAAAGAAGTCTTTTTTTAGAAATGCCTTTTTTCTTCTCTCTTCTTTTTTGTTTTCTATTTTTTTCCTTCTGGGGGAGGCAGGATGCCTGTATCAAATGTCTCTTTTCTGTAAATCAAAATCGCTTTGTGAGGAGAAAGTTGAGTTGCTGGGAAGAATACATTTTTTTTTCTCCTGTCCAAAAAGGATTCTCAGATTTTACTTTTAAAACCCACAGATCAAAAATGTGTTTTTTTTTCTCCCCACCTTATATATATGCTTCTTCTCTCTAACATTAATTTATTCAAAAAACCCTGCACTTGAAAGAGTTAATAAAAATTCTAATTACAGGATAAGAAAGAAAGGTCAGACTCCACTTACATCATTGTGAAGGGCTTTTATTACACCCTGCTATAAAACATATTTCTTTTTTTTCAGTTGCCATCCTCACAGGATAACCTGCATACCAATAGGATCTCCAAAATGCCAGGAAGCAAAAGATATTTATCTGCTAAATTCTATGTACAGTAACCTTACAAATGCCAGAGAAAGAAAGATTGCCCTCTGCACAGTAATACTTGTGTAGATGTCTTCTTTATGCTAACAATGACAAGGCTCTCTAGGTTTCTACTGTACTCCAAAACCAGAATGCATTTTTTTTTTCAAAAAGCAGAAACTGTATATCAAAAAGAAAAGATGCACATTTTAGGCACTGAAATACTTAATATAGTAAGCAAGTACTCTCCTGTCTAATCTCTGTCTAATCCAGAAAGGTAAAATGGAAATGTATGACTCAAGTATTCTTGAAGAAATTAGACAGGTTATGTTTGGGAGTATCTCTCTGTCCTGGCTGGTCAACTAAATTTTCATTTTAAGCTCAGTTTGAAGCCTCCCAGACCCGTTACTTGATTAACTCGAGGATGTTACATAGCAAGTTATACAAAAGCAGCCTGGCTCCAAATCTAATTGCTGTCATTTTTTAACTCCAGCTGTGGAAGACAACAAACAAGAACTTTACTGTGGGACAAACGCGAGTCAGAAAAATTCTAATTTTTGCAATATATTACTCTTTAAATCCATTACTTTGATTTAATATGTCCAAAGTTGTCTATATAGTTATTTCAATTATTTTCAGCTCTAAATTCTGACAACAAATTCATAGAAATCTACATTAATAAATGCAAGATTTACTGTCTGCTTTCCTGAAGACAGTGTGTGCTGTCAGAAGCACCAGTTCAATATCTCATGTGATGTATGCTCAAAGTTAGAATGTAACTAATGACGTAGGGACTGACTTCCCTCTTCTGAAGGAGTTTTTTAGGAATCACATTCAAATAGTTGCTTCAGAGTTGCACTTTGCAGGGCAAGCACTGCCTTTCCAACCTTTCTAAAGAATAAATATTAACAGAGAACAGTGAAGGTTCCATTTCACCACTTCTGATGGCAATTTTATTAACTATATGTTTATCTTGTGGTCTAAATTTATGACAGGCCCATTTGCAGTGAGGCCTGGAGTTTCCTTGTTTACAACGCTGCAAAGTAAAAGGTGACCTTTTTATTTTTGTTTAAAACCTTTCAACAGTTTGTTCTGCTCCAGAGATGGCACCTTAATAAGCTCTCAGCCCAGAAAGCTCTCGTTTTCCTTTTGGGGGGTACAGGGCACTGCATTGACTCACACAGACATTAGAAAACATTTTTAAAAGAGAATACAAACTTGGTTGAAGATCACATTTGTCGATTAGAAAGCTGTTGTGCTGAGATCATACCTGCCATTATGAAAAGGGAAAGAAAACCAGGGGGTAGGGGACACATCGCTGGCTAAATAAACGGTAAATGAGCTGTTTAAACAGTTGCATCTATACACACAAGCAACAAAAGCATCAAGCACCTGGCGCAATTCTATTAGGACCTAATTCTGGCAACAATATGCATCATTATGGTGGGATCTGATAGCGAGCAAACACTGGAGGCATTACACGTCTTTAGAAGAATCAGACTTCCTACCTTAGCAAGAGTGATAGAAGGTAAGTCCCCCTTTAAAGAAAGTTGTAAGTAAAGCCAGGCAGCAGTTGCAGTAAATTGAGTCCTTTCAGTCACTGTACACATGCAGCAGTTCTGCAATAAGGGAAAAATATAATGGGAGGAGCAGCTGTGAACGAGTGACCTCCCGAAGCTGAGTTCTCTTTGTGAATCGAGCACCGGGAGCCAGTGCCTCTGATTTGCATGGATTATCTCCACTTGAACTGATACATTTAAATGGACTGGCACGGGGGCACGGGGATGAAAAAAAAAAAGGAGAAAAAAAAAGAAAGGCCGAGCGAGCGAGCGGTCGGAGGAGCGAGGGGAGCGCCGGGCGCGGAGGGGAGCGGAGCGGGCGCCGGGCTGTGCGCGGGCTCGGGCAGAGCCGCGGCTGGAAGAGCTACAGCTCCCTCTTCATGTCGCAGCCGTAAGACGAGGAAAGCTGTCATCACGGCGGAGTTTAAAACAGATCCCCCCCTCCCCCCTCCGCCCCAGCTTGTGATGGTCCATTTGATCAGATTCCTATAAACACGTAATAACTCAGCCCGACGTGCGGCCGGGGGTTTGGGCTGCGAGCCCCGAGTGATTATAAATCTGCTGAACGCTGCTAAATGATTTCAAACACAGAAATGTTTTGAACGTAGTAACTGGTTGGGATGTTTCCGAGTGTGCAGTGACAGATTTATCATTTGCCAGTGTGCAGGTGCCTTTAAAATAGTCAAGGGATGGTGGCATTCAAAGCTGGCTGTGCAGGGAGATCACCAACAGGATGATGGGCTGTGCTCCACAACGTTATCCAGCATCTACCAAGACAAAAGAGAGACAAAAAAATTTGCATTCAACCACTTCAGAATTCCTCCCTTATTACCATAAATGCCACAAACATTACCTGTTGCACACTCCTGATTTGATTTAAATGCAGTACTTAAGCTGATTAGAGAAATGTGAGAGTACGTTCAACCCTCTTGAGCCTGCGCCCAATCCAAGAGGATCCTGAACTCAACTTTGTTTCTTTTGTTTAGAGTATTTCAAATAAGTTGGTTTTGCACCATGGTACAGAATTTTGCAAACCTCTGCATGGATTAATTCTGCTCAGAACTTGGACTAAAAGTCATGAAAGGATGAATGGCTGGTCACATGTTCTTCCATCAGTGTCTGAAGCTAGGAATGGATGCAATTGCATTCTTTGGGAATCATTAATGGATGAGATTTGGTGGGACAAAATGGCCTATATTAGCACTTAAACCACCAGAATGTTGTCTTGTAAGAAACATATCTTGCTGTAAAATATTGCTTGTTCAGAGATCAACAGAATGAAAATGTCTACAAACACAACCACGGCTAAATTCTGTCTCCAGCTCATTTGCAGACCAAGCTGAGTCCAACAGGAGTCTGTTGTGTTCCTGTTTCATATTCCTGGGGTAAAGCCTCAGAGTTCTTTTTGTAGGATCCCAGCATTTACGTGTAACAGAGAATCTGGAATGGTGCCTCTGTCTGAACAGAATACAGGGTAAATACAGTACTTAATCTAGTAATGCTTCTTGGAAACATCACATTTACAGTAAAATTTGCTACAGATAAATGATCCCATAGGCACTGGACAAAGTAGTGGAGAATATATTTGGATTTCTAAGACATGAAACACATTCATGAGTTGAATGAGAAACACAACTGTGAGACACAGTTATTGGTGTACCCATAAAGTGCTTGCTCTGAGAAATGCTCTTGGTTCACTGGAGGTTTGGGTGTTTGATTATTTTATTGTGAGAGGGGAAGGACCCTTCAACCAGACTCTGTCTATCTAAATATGTACCCAGATGTTATTTAACCTGACTGAAACATCATCTTTCCCTGTGCACTCTCCAGAACTTCTCAACCATGTTCTTAGGTCATATCTTACTTGTGTGTTGGACTCCAAATTTTATTTCTTATTTTCTCAATTGTTCTTTCTCCAGTGACCCCTCACCAGGTAATAACAGATGGATTTGACTCCAGCAGGGCACTCAGAAGCCTCAACATCAACCCTGTATATGACAGCTGTGTGAAGCAGCCTCCTGGTTGATAGATGGCTTTGAAAAAGATGAACCAAATTTGCTCTCATTACTCTGCACCCTGCAATGCACTCCTCAGTCCTGCCTATGCCAGGCTGAGAATGGCACAGCTGTTCAGTGCCACTAGCCTGTGTGCCACCAGCAACAGGGAATCCTGGAAAAAGAAAGGAATGTCCAGCAACAAGAGGGATTTTCACCTTAAAGGTGCAGGTGAGAGGAAACGTCTGTGTGAAGCATCGAGACAGCCATGGAGGGCACAAGGAACATGACAGGGATGAGGACAAGTGGATGCAGGAGCTGTGGGTGTATCTTATTCTCTGGGAAGATGTGTTTGTCTGCAATGTCATCTGCTAAAGGTCATCAAGAGAAGACCTCACTAGAGATGTGCCTGGAGGCAGCGTTGGGGGAAGGTGTGGACTTGAGGAGATGGGGTAAGAAAGGGCAAAGGGAATGGGCAGCTGGAGATTTGTGGGCACCTGTTGAGCGAGAGGACATACAAGAGGTACCTCGGGGGAGACTGGAGAGTCAGGGAAGTCTGCAACAAAAATAACAGGAGGAGCAGTCTGGGAAACAGAGGAAAGCCAAAGAATATGCTTGCCATCTGGGAGACTAAAACGTACAGCAGACAGAACCGAAATAGAAGGTAGAAAAGAAGTGGAAAAGTTAATTCCAGCAAAAAATTGTAGGAGACTAGGATCCAAAAAGGAAGGAGAATGTTAGAGAGGTTAGTGAGAAGAACAAACGGAAAGATCCTCTGTGAACAGAAGGCAAAATGGACTAAGATAAAATAGTGTCTGCATGAACAGGGAGCCTGTGTTAATCAGGAACAACTAAATTGTCACTAGATCAGTTCCACAGAGCAGGATGTGAGGTCATTTCTCAAGAAGGAGGATGTGGGATGTGGGTGGAAAAGGAAAAAAAAGCATTCTGCTAGGAATAGGGAAGAATCTTTTTTTAATTTAATTTTCTTCAACTGGAAAGTGATGCTATAAAAATCCCACTGGAATAAATCAAAGATGATTAGACTAAATAATTTCATTTTAAGTGGGAGGAAAATGCCTAGAAAGTGAAGACTCATGAAAATGGTACCTGGCTGAATATCCATGGAAAAAAATTGGGTCTGAGATCCACACTATTAAAAAAGAACCTTTAGAAACACATGGAAACCTTGGTAGAGGTTCATGTCACCCTCGTGTCTTCTTACTGTACACAACAAGAAGAAAATCTGCTCAATGAAAATTGAGCTGGGGGTGAGGAAATACCAGTGGATGATCAGGAAAGAGAAGGTAAAATTGCATAGTGGGACCAAGGCACAGAAGTGCACAATCCACTCAGGAGAGATGGGAAGAAAGACTAAATAAACTTGCCTAAATGCCTTCTGTACTCTGATAGATCAGAAAGGAGAAAGAAAGGATGGCATGAATCAAACAGGAGACATTTGGGCCCAACTAATGGATTTGGGCCCAATGCATGGATTTACCAGTCAACAGCCAGCAAGAGATGGAACTATGCCTGTCTTTCTTCTAATAATCAAAACAGATACTATGAGAAAACCAGTCCACAACCAGATCAGGAGTTAAGCTTATTTAAATGAAAGGGAACAATCAATAAACATAAGGCTTTATGGCCCAAAGGGCAAATTTTGTTAATCTAAAAGATCTTGTTAGTGAAATTAGACTGACTGTTCAAGGCCTTGAATATGGAAGACCCCTGGAGTTTCTTCAAACCCAGGATATGTGGAATGTGCAGCTGATGAAGGGGAGACAACCCATGGAAAAGTGGTCAAGATATTCCACGCAAAGGAAGAACTCCTTGAAGACTTTGAGAGACAGGCAGGGCACAGGACGAAATCAAAAAGATGTATCAGCAGCCAGATGTGTATTAGAGGTCAAAATATAAAGTGAATAAACTGTCAGCAGTCAAATTGAACTACAACTTGGAAGGAATATTCAAACAAAGAGCAAAGCAATGTTCGTGCAGACGAGACCAAATGAAACATGGCATTTCAATACAATGGGGAGATGAAGAAAATCTCTTTACAGTTAAACACTAAGTGACTAATTCATGTATATTTTCGGAGAGGAAACAGGATAAATAACAGGAAAGAAGCTGTGATGATAAGAATTATCAAACTGGAAGCAAAACTAAAAATCCAGTGTACTCAGGACAGGGAGAGGTATCAAATAAACTCCATTCCACAATCTGACAAGAAAGGGAACATGAACTCCCAAACCTGGTGGGAAGCAGCTCAGACATGATACTGGCTGACTGGAGAAGAGCAAATGTATTATCCATTTATCAAAGGGAGACCTATGCAGCTACAAACCCATTAGTTTGACCTCAGTTGCTTTAGAAGAAATTTTGAAGGAAAAAAAATAATTGAAGACAGGGAGGTAAATGGAAAATGGGATAACACACAAAAAGGATTTACTGAAGATAGCTCGTAGCCAGTGAATTTGTTATTGCTCTTTAATAAGATAACTGATTTTCTAGACAAAGGATTTGTGATACATCTTATCTGTATCTGTGCTGCATATGAGACAGCATTACATAGGGAACAGGGGATTAGAGGAAGAGTTGTAAAGTGGATAAGAGATTGTCTAATGGATAGATGGCAACAGGTGGCACTGAGAGAAGCAGCATCAAACTGCAGGAAATTTACTGGCAGGAATTCTCAAAAATCAGTCTTGGGATCAATCTTTTTTTTAAGATCCAGGCATGAAGAGCAGAAGTATGAAATCTAGAGTTTCCATTGAGCTAGAAAAAAAATGTCGTTACAAAAAAAGTAGCAGTGGGGTTTTTTTATTACATCAAATACACGTGCCTGAATATTTTAGATGCACACATGAAATATAGTACTGTATCTCTCTGTAATAAAAAAAGAAATATTCATGCCATTTAAAGACCTGGGAGCGTGGCCTTATCTGAAATTCTGTGTGCAGTCTTTGCACTGGATGTCAAGAAAATATGCTAAACCTGGAATAACTGCAAAGAGGTACAACTGCAGTGGCTGCAGACTGGAGAGCCACCACTCAGGGAGGAGAGGGAAATGCTTTG